GGAGGTACCTTAGAACAGGGGATGTCAGAGCTGGGAGGGCCCTTAGAACACAGGATGTCAGAGCTGGGAGTCTTTAGAACCCAGGATGTCAGAGCTGGGGGGGCCCTTAGAACACAGAATGTCAGAGCTGGGAGGTACCTTAGAACGGGGGATGTCAGAGCTGGGAGGGCCCTTAGAACATGGGATGTCAGAGCTGGGAGGGCCCTTAGAACACAGGATGGCAGAGCTGGGAGGTACCTTAGAACAGGAGATGTCAGAGCTGGGAGGGCCCTTAGAACATAGGATGTCAGAGCTGGGAGGGCCCTTAGAACACAGGATGTCAGAGCTGGGAGTCTTTAGAACACATTATGTCAGAGTTGGGAGGGCTTTTAGAATCCAGGATGTCAGAGCAGGGAGGGCCTTAGAACACAGAATGGCAGAGCTGGCGGTGTAAGGAGGGGGGAAGACACGACTTCACACTGGCCATGCCCCGTCCCTAGCATGCACACTCTCCTCTCTTAGAATCCCTTGTTTCTATCAAAGCTCAGTCAGAGAGCCACCTTCCACAGGAAGCCTACCGTGATCTCACCATTTAATATTGCCTTCCCCCAGAAATCACTTTGTTTGTATTCAGTGTTTTTTCACTTTTGTCCACGTTCTTCCCTCCCCTCAATGGAACTAGAGGAGCTCTGATCATTCCATTGTTTGCTTTGACTCTCTGATGTCTAGCACAGTGACTGGCACATAGTAGGTATTTAATAATGGCTTGCAGATTTGATTGGCATGGAGTGAAATGGGATTGAACTAAAGTATATTGAGCAGAATGGAATGACTTGGTGCTAAGCAGGTAAGAAGGCGCCCCGAATGTTTACAAGCCCCTCCCTCTTCCCGGTCCGTCCATCCATCTCCCTTACCGCTGCTCTGGGGGTAGGCAGCAACGGTCCCATCCTGCAGGCCAGCAAAGAGGTAGTGGGGGCTGTAGCAGAGGCACAGGACAGGCTGCAGACCTGGACTCTTGCAGGTAACCAAGCACTGGGTCCCCGTGTCCACACTGCCATACACAAGGATGCTGGGGAAAGACAAAGAGGGGCCTCAGCCTTGACACACTTTGAAACCTGCCTTTTCCCACATAGCCTGACCCAAAGAGTATGATCTCTTCTGTGTCATGGACCCCTCTGGCAGTGTCTGATGAAGCCTACGGATATCCCTTCTCACAAGGTTTTTAAGTGCATAAAATATAAGACAGAAGGTTACAAAAGAAACCAATTATATTAAAATAAAGGTGTAATATTTCTCCCCATCCAAGTTCACGGAAGATTGAAATCTGGACCCCAGGTTAAGACTCGGGTCTGGGAAGATCTGACACAGCTGTAGCATAATTTCCAGAAAGCACATTGAACTTGGGGTCAGGAAACCTGAGGTTGTGTCTAAGTTTTGCCACTTAGAAGTTGAAAAAATATGGACCTCAGTTCCCTCATCTGTAAAAAGGAGATGAAAATACCTACCCTGACTCACGGGACTATTTTCCAGTGGCTTGAAGGAGATAATTATAAGAAGCACAATGAGACAGATAGACAGACCAAGAGACACATACACCCAAACCATGAGATAACAGTAACCGAGTCAACACCGCCATTTCTAGAAAGGGTGCTCCGACACGTGAACTCCAATCTCCACAGATCCCTTTTACTTGCCTGTACAAAACCCTACTGACCCTGACTCCCATTCCCTTTCACGTGGTATCTTCTCCCATTAGAATGTAAGCTTCCAGAGGGAGCTCTCTTACTCTCTCTTACTTGCTTCTATTTGTATCTCCAGATCTTACACAATGCCTGGCACATAGTAATTAATAAATGCCTTTTCTTTCACTTATCCTTTCATTCACTTAACTGATCAGCCATTAGACAGGATCCTAAGACCAGAAACTACAGAAGGAGCTCCCCAGGCCCTCTCACCTCCCATCCTGAAGCCCGAGGCAGATGGTTGGATGTACCACAGATGAGGGGTCAGGGGCTGCCCCGCCTGATTCTCGGTCCTCATCCTCCTCATTCTTCTCCGGAATGTATTCCATGCAGAGCACTGGGGAGGCCACAGGGAAGGACTTGACCATTCTAGGCGTGGGCCGGTTCAGTGAGAAGATCTCCACCTGACCACCAGCACCATCCTGTCCACCGGCAACCTGGAAGGACAGAGAGACAGACAGGGCTGATCAGAGCTAGAGTCAAGAGCAGAATGGAGCAAACAGAGCAGAGGCAAAGGGCTAATGTCCCCAAGTACAGCCTTCCCTAGCCTCCCCCCATGGGCTCTGGGGTGGGAAAGGCAAAGGTAAACAAGCTGTCTCATCTTTCTCTCAGGTCAAGGATTTAGTCTGAAGGGTCCTCTGAAAAGTGAGTTCAAATCCTTGTTTTTTTACTTACTGTGTAACTTTAGACCAATTACTTCTCCTCTCTGGGACTCAGTTTCTTCTGCCGTAAAATGAGGGCACTGGATCATGGAATCATAGATTGCACTGGAAGGGGCCTCAAAGATCTTCCTGTCTGGCACCCTCATTTTACAGATGAAGAAACTGAGGCACATATAAGTTAGATGTCTTGCCCAACATTACTCAAACTAATATCACTCGAAGCCAAGGATATCTCTGAGGTCCCACCTAACTAGCAATTCTGTGGCCCTAAAAGAGATTTGACCTTTCTCTTTGAAGGGGATATGCTCCAGAGTCATTGTCAACAGGACATGAATTCTGAGTTAAATTTACAGTGGAAGGGGTAGGCTGGCCTAAGTCACCGACACCATCTCCCCTATGCCCCAAATGACCAAAGACATGCATTTAGGAAGTGACTGCTTGGGTGACCTCAGCCTCATTGGGACCATGAGACCTACAGAATTAATACTTCACACTGCTCCCCGACACCTTCTAACTTGATCTTTTCAAGACAGAAACCAGGCTCTGGAAACACCAATGGGATCTAGGATCAAATACTTCAACACTCTTACCCAGGGGACCAGTCCTTTCTTCCCTGTCCTGAGGTCAAAGAGGAACCTGCTATGACCTGAGCAGAGGTTAAAGGGTGGTACTTACCCAGAGGTAGCCCTGAGGGAGGGATGTGCTGACAGCGGAGAAGCCTAGGAGAGGGGAGTGAACTGGACTGTGGATCAGGGACCTGAGCTGAGGGGAGAGAGAGGAAATAGAGCAGGCAATCAATTAATGTTTGTTGAATGACTGATTGATTGAATGAGTGAATGCAGATAGCTTAGGTTCTCCTGTTGTATGCTGGTATCTGCCCCAACATGGACTCTTAACCTACCTTCTCATCACCCAACAGATAAATCACTAACTCATTAACTTTCTGGGTTGAAAAGGACCTCAGAGGTCATCTAATCCAACCTCCCTCATTTTGCAGATAAGGAAATTGAGGCCCGAAGAGGGCAAATGAGAAATAAAATGTAATGAATTATGAGTGCAGAAACCTGGGTTCTAGTCTCTTTCTTGTCATTAAATTTCACCGTGCCACTTTAGGCAAGTGATTTACCTGCTACAGAAGAAAAACATTTGTGCTAAGAATATGGGCAGAGATCCCCAGTGGCCTTGAAGATATCTCTCTCTAAAAAGAAATGTTTAGAATTTGTTAAATTCAAATTAATAAAAATTATTTCTGGCAGTCAGAGAATAGAAATTTCTTCCAAACGGCCTATTTCCTCCTTTACAAAATGCAGGGTTTGGACTAGAATCAGGGGTAGGGAACCTGCAGCTTCGAGGCCACATGTGCCTCTCTAGGTCTTCAAGTGTGGCCCTTTGACTAAATCCAAACTTTACAGAACAAATCCCCACCCCTGGACTAAATGGTCTCTAAAGGTCCCTCCCAGTTCTAACATTCTCTAGTCTAAGGTCCCCCCCAAGCTCTGACATCCTATGTTCTAAAGTCCCTCCCAGCTCTGACATTCTGTAAGCTTATTACTTATCCAAATTTCCCATCATTAAAACCTATTTCTTTTTTCTTTTTAAGTCATTATATTCATAGTAACCACTACTGGTGATAGAAACATCATCATGGCTGTCTACCTATAGACCACAGCATTTGTGCTGCCCATCATCATTAATAATCTCTATAGCCTCTGCCCCTAGTGAGCAGTGAGCAATTAAGACACAAGTTGGTCAGAGCCTGGCTCTCTGTATCTCTCTGACTATGGTGAGGGCAGTGTGCTACGGCACAGAAAGGGACCTGGGCCTTTCATGACCCTCTATGCATGAGATCTGCCGCTCCCTCCTGCAAGAACGACAGTTATTATCAAAGCCCATGCTGTCCTTCCCAAGGAAGGAGTCAGAAACAGACATTTTAAGAATTCTTAATCAGGGCCTCCGTACTACTGTGTTAACTTCTCTTAGGACATGTGCTGCCCTCTGCTGGTGTAAAGATGACAAAGACTACAGAGGATTCCAAAGCATGGTTTGAACTTTCTAACAAAGGGAGCAAATATTTCATATACGATAGTCCTATAAAGGACTCCAGATTTCATCCAAATCAACCCTTTCATTTTCTAGAGGAGGAAACTGAGGCCAAAAGAGAAGGGATTTGCCCAAGGTCTCACACAGTTTAATAAATAAAAATGCTGAGACTTGAACCCAAGATCCTCTGTCTCCAAATCCAGTGTTCTTTCCATATGATCTAAAAGTCAAAGAAATCACGGAGACACAAAGACAGATGGGGAAAGCAACTCAGGAAACTACACTCAACTCTCTTGCTTTCTTCTTCCTCTTATCAGCTTATGCCACACCATATAAGCCTGTTTGAGGAATACCAGCTCAGAGGTCTAGGCTCTCCTGGCTTTTAATTAGTTGCTTATCAGCTGTGTTGGGGTAGAAAAGTTCATTCTCTCATGAGTTCAAATGACTGCCCTACTGCTCCATTCACTGACCCTTCCAGGACCACAACATTCTTTCCTAGCCAGCAGTCCCTTACACATGTGGTTTTCCCTTTTTAGGATGTAAGCTGCTTAAGGGCAAGATCTGTCTCCCTTTTGTATTTTTGTATCCTCAATGCTTAGCATAGTACCTGGCATATAGTTCTTAATAAATGCTTCTTCCTTCAATCATTTATTAGGGTCACAGTTGCCCCTTTGCTTTCACAGCTCAATTGCTCTGCCTCCCTACCTGTGCTAACACCCCATACTCAAAGATTTTACAGCCAGGGCTTGTATTCTTCCTGGCATAGCCCTTGAGAACCCAGGGTCAGCCCTGCGACCCCTTGAAGCATCACAAGTTGAATTTAATTTAAAGTCTTACACACAATGAGCCCTTCATAAAGGTCGAATTGAAATGTAACCAACCATCTGCCTCGGCCTACCTCCCCAGCATTCCCTGGAGAAATCGACTTAGCCATTTGGTCTAATTAAATCCAACCCTGAGGCCAGATTTCTAGCAAAAGCTTCCATCTCCCCAAACTCTATCCCCCTCCTCCTCCACAACTCATCTCCATTACTGAGGGAGGATGAAAGGAATAGAAGAAACCATAACCAGAAAGCCAACAATATTGCATCTGTTACTGGCAGTAATCGGATGAGGCCTTGACAATGTTTGGAAGACCTAATTCACTCTAATGACGGAAAGCTGATTGGGGCGCATCTGTATCGGAAGGGAGTGAGATGAGAGGAGGGAGGGAGTGAAGTGAGGCAGGTGAGGGAGAGAGAAGGAGAGAGAGGGAGGGAGGGAGGGAGAGAGAGAGAGAGAGAGAGAGAGAATCAGGGAAGGGAAGAACAGCCGCAGGGGAGTGTCCCTGAAACCATCAGTCAGTGATGCCCATATTCAATATTCCTACATATACAGCAGGACCCCCCCCAACAAGGTGGCACAGCCCTCCCCAGAAGCAAAGCTATTCTCAGCCTGTATGTCTTTGTATTCCAGAAAGCTCCAAATGAGGATGTTGTGTGGGCCTCCCCAGAGCAAAGGAGCAGATGGTCGACCCTCCCCCACCTCCCCCACCTGAGAGACAATCTTCTTGGGAGGACGGCATTCAGCCAAAACCAGTGTTAGAAAGGAAGTATCACACAGACTTTCCAAGGGAGCCCAAGAACCTTCAATTTCCCAACTCAGAGGCATCGTGGGGTCACTTCCTCCTCATCCCTCTTGCCTCCAGAGAGACCCACAAATTCAAGGTCACCGAGGAAGGATGGCCCAAGGAGGGTCCCAAACATAAAATCCTTGATTGAGAAAAATCTCAGAGGCAGAAGTGACAGCAGTCAGATGACCCAATTTACAGATTAAAAATTAAAAAAAAAAAACAAACCCGCGGGAAGTCCATCCATGTTTGCAACAGGTAAACCCCTCCAGGATACTTCCTGGTAAATGGTCATCTAGCACTTAGCACAGTGCCGGGCACACAATCAGTGCTTAACAAATGTTTATCGACTGATTGATTATTGATCCAGCCCTATCCTGATGACCTCCCCACCTGGACAACTCCCTGCTTTCAAGGCAACACACTCATCTCTTGGACAGCGCCAATGGTTTTCCTTACACAGAGTTGAAACCTGCCTCTCTGAAGCTTTAGCACGTGGCTTATGGTTCTGCCCTCTCACCTCTATGGCCAGGTAGAATAAAACTAATCCATCTTCCATCTGCTAGTCCTTCAAATACTGGAGTCTGAATGCAGATCAAGGCATAACATTTTTACTTTTTTAGATTTTTTTCATTTTTTTCCTTTTGCTCTTCACAACATGACTAATATGGAAATGTTTTACATGATTGCACGTGTATAACCTATATCAGATTGCTTGTCATCTTGAGGAGGGGGGAGGGAAGGGAGAAAGAAAAATTTGGAACTCAAAAATCTTTCAAAAAATGAACGTTGAAAATTGTCTTTACGTGTAATTGGGGGAAAAAATAAAATACTATTAAATATTTTTTAAATACTTAAAGTCAGCTATCCATTACAATGGATCAATTCCTGCTTCCCAAGCCCCAATAGGGAAAGGTTAAAGTGCTTCTATAATTCCTCAATCAATTAAGTAAAAAAAAAAAGAATCGAAAATAGGTTCCACTACTTATATCAGGTATGGCGAAAGCTTCTAGTCTGGGTAGGAAAGTCCAAGAATCCAGGTGGGACAGGACCTCTGAGATCACCTGATCTAACTTCCCATCTATTTCAGGAACTTCCCATTAACATTCCTAACAGGCTTTATCCAGGCCCTGAAGAGGCATCCTATAACATAACCTACAGTTGGCATGAAAGCATATTCATTATGGCCTCCACTTCCTCTTTTTATTTTTTTTTTTATTTTTTTATTTTTTTTGGCAAGGCAATTGGGGTTAAGTGACTTGCCTAGGGTCACACAGCTAGTAAGTGTTATGTGTCTGAGGCCAGACTTGAACTCAGGTCCTCCTGACTCCAGAGCCCATGCTCTATCCACTGCGCCACCTAGTTGCCCCTCCAATTCCTTTTAAAATACTAAGATAGGATATTTCTTCTTTTAAAATTTCTTTAAAAATATTAAGATAGACTATGTCAGTGTCCTAATCAAAAGCCTTTATTTTCTCCTGAATGGAGGAAAAGAAACCATTACTACTTTTCCTCTGAATAGAAGACAATGCCAAGGAGAGAGTGTCCTAGTCATAAATCCTTTGTTTTATCCTTATCAAAGACAATCAGTTCTTTGGAGAGAAGGCAATCCAACTCTGTTATAAGGGATCTCTCAGAAAATGAAGACACTTTTATCTTATTTGTGGCGACCAAACTAAGAGAAGATATGTCTTTGTTTAATTCAATTAAGAGAAGTATCTCTTAAGTACAGCTTTTACGAGGGTGAAAAAAACGATTCCCTTAACCAACCAAAGGAAATATCACTTAGTGTAGTCTAGGACTCAGCTGAGGGAGGTGGCTATTTTGGCAGGCCCGGGACCCACCGTTGGTTTTCCTGGAAGATGGCGCCTCCAACATTAACATGCACCTCTCCACGTTAACATTACTATGGTTCAGCATGGCAAGTCAAGCCCTAAAACTGAATTCCGTATTCTTGTTTGACTCTTTCTGTGGAATTTGCCTCTTGTTTTCTGAACAATACAAACTCTAATTAGAAGAGGCTCGGGGCAGAGCGAGGTTTTCCATTAGCAGAAAAGAAACTGCCCTTTGTTCTCTCTTTCTAAGAAATCATGCTTGGATAGGTAATTAATAAATTTGTTTCTGGCAGCCCTGTGCCAAATGAGCAGAGTACTGAGTTGTCCTTTCAAATGCAAAGCATTTAAGAGGAAACTAGATAGAACAATGGATAGAGTGCTGGGCCTGGAGTCAGAAAGACCTGCGTTCAAATCCTACCTCAGAGACTTACTAGCTGTGTGACCCTGGGCAAGTCACTTGCCTCTGTCTGCCTCAGTTTCTTCCACTGTAAAGTGGAGATAATAATAGCGCCTAGCTCCCAAGGTTGTTGTAAGGATCAAATGAGATAAGATGTAAAGGTAAAGTACTTTGAAAATCTTAAAACATTCTATAAATGCTAGCTATTGTTGTCGCTGCTATTATTTTTATTCCATTTGGTGCTGCACACAGTAGGTGTTTATTTTGGGTAGAGGCAATCCGAGTTAAGTGACTTGCCCAAGGTCACACAGATAGCAAGTGTCTGAGGTCATATTTGAACTCAGGCCCTCCTGATTCCAGAGCCAGTGCTCTATCCCCTGCAACACATAGTAGGCATTTAGAACTTTAGTTCAGTCTGCAGAACTGAAAAATGAATGATAGATATTGAGCTAAAGTATGGCTCCTTCTCCCCCTTGGGCCTCATTCTTACTTCTAGAGACACAGTCTAGATGGAAAGGTAAGGTAGCTCAGTGGAAAGAATGTTGGATTGAGAGTCAGAGGTCATGGGGTGGAATCCAGACTCTTACTTTACTACTCATGGGCAGGTCACTTAACATCACCTTCATCATCTGGAAAATGGGTGTGTTTGAGTAAGAAAGGCCTAAGTCACTCTCCAGCTCTAAACCTATGCCTCTGTGAGAGCCCTTAAGTCAGTCAGTGGTCAGTCAGTGAGCATTTGCCAAGCACCTACTATGCGCCAGGCAAAGTGCCAAGTGCTGGGGCAAAAGACAGTCCTTGCCCTCAAGGAACTTGTACTCTAACAGCAAAGACAACAAATCAACATGTTGGGAAAACAACAACTGTCACCTCCAGGTTTGAAGACATGCGCCTTATGAGGAGACAGCCAACAATACCAGACAGGGTAGAATAAATTCCAGAAACCTGGTATAGACAGGAAGACTCATAAACTAGTCGTATGCCCCTCCAAGAAAGCCAAAAAGAAAAATCCAATCGTATCAAGATATTCTGCATAGTGACAGCCACATAGTAGGTGCTTAATTGGGAAATGGATGAAAAAAACTCCAGTTGAGGAATGTAATGGTTAATTATTATGTATTAAGAAAAAAGGAATTCAGAGAAATAGGGGAAGTTCTTCTGATTCAGCTGAGGAAAACCAGAATAAGCTGAACTGAGAGAGATCAAAACATAAAAGAACACTAGGAGGAAATTCAGCTCCGAATAAATGAAAAACTCACGGAGTCCCTAGAGAACAAATAAAAAACTACACCTTGTCCTTTGTGGCAAAGAGGTGGGGGAGCTAGTAGGACAGAATATTGCATACTCTGCTGGATGTATCAGATTACATGTTCAGGTTTTTGTTTTGTTTTGATTTTTTTTTTTGGCCTAGGCAATGGGATTAAGTGACTTGCCCAGGGTCACACAGCTAGTAAGTGTCAAATGTCTGAGGCCAGATTTGAACTCAGGTCCTCTTGACTCTAGGGTTGGTGCTCTATTTACCATGTTCAGGTTTAGCAGGGGTTTTTGTTTTTTTTTTTTTGTTTTGGTTTGTTTTGTTTTGTCACAAGGGAGAGTTCAACCTATTGAAAGAATAGAGCTCACATTTCCATAGCACAGTAAGGTTTGTAAAGCACTTTACATAGACTATCTCATTTGAGAAAAAGCCCAGTGTGGCAGTGCCATGATTAACCCCATTTTACAGATGAGAAAACTGAGGCTGAGAAAGGTTAAGTGACTTTTCCCAGTATCTGAACCCTTGCCTTCCCAACTACATGCCCCCTGCTTTAGATGACTGGGTTGTAGAGAAAAAAAGACATCAATTAAAAAAAAATTAACTGCATTACTAGAGTTTAAAAAGAGGGAGATAATTTGACTAGAAAGTCATCTTTTCATCATTTCCTTGAAAGGGAAGTACCAGGGAAAAAGAGAGGAGTTGGAAGAAAGATGCCTCTTGCTGGTCGTGAAAAGTGAGGCTGGTCTATATGGTGAAGGATTAGCCATGCTGTCCCTGAAAGGACATTGGCTCTGATGTTTGGTCACTTCACTTTTCTGGACCTCAGTTTCCTTATCTGTAAAATTAATGAGTTAGACCAGATGATCTCTGAGTTCCCCTTCCATCTCCAGAGCAATGACCCACATCTGGCTCCTTTGGCATTTATGGGGGAAAGGGAAGAAAGTAGTAAACACCCATAACTTCCCAGTGTAAGAATTCCCTCCTTCATTGGGGTAGCTCACTTGTAACTTGCAGTCTCATTGAGTTGCTTGTTATGTCGTGACATTCCCATGATAACATAGACCATCTGGGTCAGAGTCAGGACCGGAACTCAGGTCTTCCTGACTCCTGGGTCAGCACTCTACCCACTGTCTACATCCCCAGCTTTCAATACGTCTGTAGCTCACACTATATCCATACACCACGCTTTTCACATGTTATCGTAAGTCTCATTCCACCTATTCATGTTGATGTCTTTTCTCTCATCTCTAATCAACAAAATATAACTTTGTATAGGATATTTTACATTAAAATAAAGTTTTCTGGTGATATACTCATATTAAATTTGTATATATAATTTTACATTTACATTAAGTCGACATAATAGAAAAACCACTAGACTGGGCAGTAGGAGACCTGGGTTTCAGTCTCAGTTTTGACCACTGGCTCACCAGGAGAGCTTGGTCAAGTCACTTCTACATTGGACTTCAGCTCCCTCCTTGGCAAAATAAGGGCGTTGGCTTAGATGAACATTAAGGTCTTTCCTAGCTTTAAATTCTCTGTCCTAAGGCCCCTTTCAGCGCCATCATTCAAGAAGGTTTTGACCAGCTCTGAGTCTAAGGTCCCTTGTAGTTCTAACGTTCTGTGCTCTAAGGACCCACGAGCAAGATGCCTGAAAGTCAATGCTTTATAATTAAGAAGTACGCCATGAGCTATTGCAGGCTCTGCAGCCACCTAGCGTGCTCAGAATTAATCACAGGGTGAGGAGTTCCTCTCAGCTCTCAGATTCCCTCACGGTTCTCTCAAGGGCTTTGGAAGTCCTCGGGCCAGTGGCTCTGACCTGCCCCATTAGAGTTAATGGGGCCAATAAGATTTAGTCTTTGTTCTTATCTGCCACATATTAAAATATTAAGACATTCAGACTGCCCAGCCAATTGGGATTAGGAGGAGAAGGCCAAATTCAACTCCTTGACCGGTGCCAATATAACCCTTCTCCTGGGATAAGAACAGCTTTGTTATCCCAAGCAATACAAGGCTTAGATACTGGACGCTTGCCCAGGAGGGTCAAAGAGACAATGCCTTACATCACTGGCTGGAAGGTGAAGATTGTCTATGCTGCTCCTATCATTGAATAATCTGATTGTGGTCTTCTATTTTCAAGGAGGATGGGAAGTAATTCAGTACAATTCTAGAAACATTAATTAAGCATTCTTGCTAGGCGCAAGGCATTGTTCTAGGCACCCAATGGCACCAACTAGGATGGAGATAGCAGGCTGCTCTCAGTCACCTAAGTGGTAGCTATGGTCTTCCCCTCCTGCCCCTCATCATTTGCCATAGGAGAGAAGAGTAAGAATTAAGATAATTTTGGGCAACTTCCCAAAGGTCCAGTCTCCCATTTTCACAGGTGGCCATGTCTTCAATTTGGATGCTGGGAGCCAAAAGAAATCACATAACCCCAGGCTCATAAATTTGGAAGGATATCTCATAATTGCTTGTTGACTCTTTAGAGCTCAATTCATGGGCCACCTATGACAACTCAAATTAGAAAAAGAATCCCCACTACAAGTAGAAGACATGGTTCTAATCCTCAAGAAGATTAAAGATAGGGACAGCTAGGTGGAGCAGAGGATAGATCACCGGCCCTGAAGTCAGGAGAACCTGAGTTCAAATTTGGCATCAGACCAAACACTTGACACTTACTAGCTGTGTGACCCTGGGCAAGTCACTTAACCCCAATTGCCTAAAAAAAAAAATTTAAAAAAATTTAAAAAAAGAAGAAGAAGAAGAAGACTAAAAATGCTGGGAACAGAAGAGAATGATCATTTCCTTCAAAACTCAGCTTAAGCCACACCTTCTTTTTGAAGCCTTCATTAATCTTTCCAAATGCTACCATTTCCCTCCCACCTTAACCATCCTGTTTTTGTTAATTCTGTATATGCCTAATCTAATGTCTTCTGTAGCAGAAGGTAAGAACTTTGAGGACAGGGCTATTCCATTTATTACATGTGTATCCACAGTGCCTGGTACATAGATGATCATCAATAAATAAATGCTTATTGACCTACTGACTGGAGACCTAGCATATGAAGAAAGACCAAAGAAAATTAGACTCCTTTGGTACAGAAAGAAAGAAGTAAAAAGGGGAGTGAATCAAAATTTATAAAATCAAGAACGAATGAAGAGAGAGTATATCAAATCTGGAATATCAGAAAGATATTGAAGGTAGAAAGAGAAAGATTTAGAAAAACTGTATCTGGCACAAAAGATGGCAAACTCCAATAAGCAGCAATTATCCTCACTGATTTGATGGGGAAACTGAGTCACTAAGCAATGAAAGAGCCTATCTGGCATCACACTTTAAGTGGATGATAAAGCCTGCCCTCCCCCAACTCTCAGCCCCCATGTTGTAGCTCTTGATTTTTAACAGCTTCTCTCTCCAAGAAAGAAAATAACTCCTTCTTATGTATATTCAGCATAGAAAGGCCAAGACTTTACTCACCTGAAGGCTGAGGGTGCGAGAGGAAAAGGCAGGGATGCAACAGGCCAAAATTGGGCACCAGAAGGGGGCTTTGCTCTTCTTGTCCTCATCAGGGCTTTTCCAGCCAGGCTGATTCTCTTCCCCTGGAACCAACGGGACAAGATAGGAAGGAGCTGATTAGTTCTGATGGCTAAAGGGGAAGAGAGCTGTTAAAAATTCCTGCAGCCAAGATCAAACCCCTCTAGGCCCTGGGACCCTAGACCAACCCCAGGAGCACTGCCCAGCAGAGTAATCTGCAGTGTGTTTCTAGGATATTGGAACAGTGAGGCCTCTTCCTCCATTGCATCAGAGATGACTGAAAGCAACAATTTCAGACATGACAGAAATTAATTCTTCTGCTTATTTCATGGCTACTTTAATGCCTAGAAAATCCTCTAACCAATATTCTAGAAGATTGAAGCCGGAGTTAGAAGGGCCCTTACAACAATTTCCTTTATGATATAAATATATTCTTAATACATAAACCAGGGAGAAAGTAGAGAAAGAAACTACAGACCAAAATCAATCATGAATATCAATACAAAATAATAACTTACTAGGAACAGACTTAAATTCATGAGAATGAAAGTCATTCCTCGATAAAGAAATGGGATAGGAATAGGCAGTTTTCAAGTGAAAAAAAATCAAGTTATTAATAGCTTTGCCCCCCCCAAAAAAAGACCCCGCTCTAAATCACTAATAATAAGAGAAATGTAAATTAAAATGCTAAGGTTCCGTCTCACATGCATCAGATTAGCAAAGATAACAAAAAAAGGAAAATAATTATTAGAGAGGTTGTGGAAGAATAATTGCACTGATGCACTGTCATAGGATATATAGACTACATAATTGGATATATAGATTATAGAATAGTCTGGCAAACAATTTGGAACTATACCCACTGAACTGTATACCTTTTGACCTCAGTGATACCACTATTAGGTGTTTACCCACAAAGGCAAAGAAAAAAGAGGAAAATGGCGCAAGTGTGCAAAAATATTTATAGCAGTGCTTTTGGTTGTAGCAAAGGACTAGAAATAAAGGTGGTTCCCATCAACTGTGGACTGGAGAACCAAACTATGGTACCTCCAAAAGAAAGATGAGAGAGATGGATTCAGAGAAACCTGGGAAGGTTTTCATAAACTAATGCAGAGTAAAAAGAGCAGAACACCATAAAGAAAAACAACTGTGAGAGATTTGAGAACTCTGATCAATACAGTCACAAAACACAATTCTTATGTATAATATAGATGAACGTATATAATGTGTGGACACACATATGGACATATAGACACACACACAAGACGAGTGTGCTCCCTACCTCATGACAGAGAGGGGATAGAATGAGGGTAGAGAATGAAATATACATTTTCAGACACGGCCAATATATAGATTCGTTTTCTAAAAAAATTTTTTTTAATTTGGAAAAACTGAGGTGGGAAGGCTGATGGGGATAATTCGGGGGAAAGGGAGAGAAAAGAGTATCACTGAATCATTTTTTTAAAAATGCGTGGACAGAAAGAAGTTCAGAGGGAGACACGGAAGCAGAATAGCTGTGAAGTTGATGTGTTAAACTCATTATACACATTTTAAAAAAAAATTCAAGCTCTCCTGATAAAATTCACAGATTCCCATGAAGTCATTTTTTGTTCTTTGTATCTGGAAATGTTCATGTTTATTGGTGTTGTCATGTTCTGAATCACAAAGAATTAAGAGAAAAAGGATGTCAAATGGAAGGAACTTCAGAACAAAGCCTATCAGACCCGCAAGCATCTTTACCAAGAGCTCAAACTCTAAATTTAGCATTTCCAATAATAATAATAGTATTTCTCCATCTCTTTAAGGTTTCCAAAGCACTTTACCAACACCTCATTTGACCCTCATATAAGCTTCAGAGGTGGGTCCTATTACTGTTCCCATTTTATAGATAAGGGAACCGAGGCAGAGAAAGGTCAAGTGACTTGTCCAGGGTTATACAGCCAGCGTCTAAGGCAGGATTCAAACTCAGATCTCCTTAACACCAAGTCAAGCACTCTATCCACTATACCACCGAGGTACCTCAGGTCTTTAGAACAGAAAATGTTAGATCTAGAAGGAACCTTTCATGTCAGATAATCCAAACATTTAACAGAGAACTGGAGTGACAAAGAAACTGAAATTCACAAAGCAAAATGACAACATGCAGTCCACCAACACCCGTCTCCTGTCCCCAAGATTCTTCCCACTACAACTGAGGCAGCTTCGTCCAAGACCTCTCCCTCAAGTCCTTCCTGCCTATACCATTACGAAGGATTCCCTTCCTATCCCCTTGTGATCCACACAACGCCCTCTGAGGTCCCCATCTCACCAGCTGGTGGATCCACAGACCCGTGACTCAATGTGTCCTGGGGTGAGGGGAGCAGCCAAAGCCACGGGAGCAGGCATCTCATGGAGGAGACGTCACCTCCTGTAATTCTATAGATCTGGGACTTGGCACTAGCTAAGTGATGTGGGGTCACTGATGGCTGATGAGCCTTCCTCTTCTTCCCAAGCTGGGATTAATGTCTTCCTCAGCCCTCTGGTTGTCTGGACCTCCTCAGCGACACCAGCAAAGATATCCTGGTATCTCCTAGGCTAGGATATGCCAGCTCACAGCAAGACGACGATCAGCAAAGGGTCCTGAGCTTTGCATGGCCGTAAAATGACCCTCTCTAGAGTCCAAGAGGCTGTCTCTCTTCCAGGATAACAATTCTCATCATCATAATAATTTTTGTTCTTGTTGAATCATTTCAGTCATGTCAGATTCTGTGTGACCCCATTTGGGGTTTTCTTGGAAAAGATCCTAGAGTGGTTCGCCATTTCCTTCTCCAGCTCATTTTATAGATGAGGAAACTGAGGCAAGCAGAGTGAAGTGACTTGCCCAGGGTCGCACAGCCAGTAAGTAGATGAGGCCAGATTTGAACTCACAAAGATGAGTCTTCCTGACTCCAGGCCTGGTGCTGTATCCCCTGTACTACCTCTGTTGTCATACGGCCTTTCGTCGTGGTCGTTGAGTCATTTCAGTGGTGTCCAACTCTTTGTGACCCCATTTGGGGTTTTCTTGGCAAAGATGAAGGAATGGTCTGCCATTTCCTCTTCCAGCTCCTTTTACAGATAAGGAAACTGAGGCAAACAGGGTGAAGTGACTTACCCAGGGTCAAACAGCTACTAAATGTCTAAGGCCAGATTTGAACTCAAGTCTTCCCAACTCTAAGCCTGGTGCTCTAACCGCTGCACCACCTTGATGCCTAACAATAATAGTAAAGACAAAAACTAGCACTTAGTTACTGCTTTACAATTTTCAGTTGTCTTATTTGATCCTCACAACAGTTCTGGGAGGTAGGTACTGCATTCATCCCATTTTAAAAATGAGGAAATTGAGGTTCAGAAAGGTCAAATGACTTGCCCAGGTTCACAAAGCCAGTAAATGCTGGAGGAGCACTTGAACTCAGGTTTCCCCAACTCCAGCTCCTGATGATGAGCTGACGATGGTGGCTGGCCACCTAGCTGCCTTACCCAATGACAAGGCTGTGATGATAACAATGGTGACAGCTCCCATTTTCTTAGTGATTTATGGAGTACATGGCTCCATCCTCACCAATACCCTGGGACACAGCTTGAGTGAAGATTATCATGCTCATTTGATGGATGAATAAACTGATGGATGAATATCTTGCTCAAGGTCATAAAACCATTGAATGGCAAGAGCTAGGATTGAAGTTGGGCCTTTGTCGCTCCAAGGCTCTACCCACTGCACCAGACTGCCCCCTCCTTGATTCTTTTTTATGCAAATAGCAACTTCAGTCTGGGATTGGGGGTAAGATTGCCCCCACGTTTAAAAGCTGCATTAAAAATGTGGAAAAGCCCAGGCCTCAAACGCCCAGGAGCAACTTGGATAAAAGAAAATCCACAGACAAGACCCAAATGTCATTTTTACTACTGGATTAAGCATCCCCTTTGGAAAGCGCATTTCAAGGAACCCTGGACAAGAAGGTGGAAGACCTGGGTTCTGCCATGAATAACCTGTGTGACCATGTCTAAATCACAGTGCCAGTGAACACAAACTCCTCAATAAAGGCTTTGTACTATGTGATCTCAAACTTCACTCCCAGCTTTGAAATTCTCTGCTCTAAAGGCCTTTCCACCTCCACATTTTATGTCCTAAAGTCCCTCCCAGCTCTGACCTCCTGGGTTCTAAGGGCCCTCCCTGCTCTGACATTCTGTGTTCTACGAGCCCTCCCATTTCTGACATCCTGGGTTCTAAGGGCCCTCCCTGCTCTGACATTCTGTGTTCTAAGAGCCCTCCCCACTCAGACATCCTATGTTCTAAGGCCTCCGCCCAGCTCTGACATTCTGAGTTCTAAGGGCCCTCCCAGTTCTGACATTCTGTATTCTATGATCCAAAACCTTCCTTAGTGCTGCTCAAACAGTCCAACTGTGTCCAAACACTCACTGTGATTTCAACTTGTCTGGTGAAAGGTCTTCGGAGAATGTACAAGAAAGACTCTAAGGGTTAAGGAGAAGGAGGTGTTTCCAATGGTCTGGAGTGACCCAGATCAGTAAGTGGGCCCTGGCTAGGTGGGGGCTGAACGAACTCCCTAGAGGAGAATGGGATAACGTGATAACAAGTTGGAAAAGCTAACACACGTTATGTAAATGGAAGAGACTGTTAGGATGCGAACAGCCTGCTTGTTACTTCAGCCTCATACCCACCACACAGTCACATATCTATTTGTTCATTCACTCCTTTATTTATTAACACATTCAACAAATATTGGATGACAATAACAACAACAATGACATCTGGCATTTCCACGATGCTTTATTTACAAAGTACTTTCATGGGCCTTATCTCACTTGAGCCTGACAGCAAGCCTATGGTGTAGGTACTACAGGTGTTAGGTAGCCCTAGTTTACAGACAAGGACACGGAGGCTCAGGATAGCAAAATGACGTATACACAGCTAACAATGTCTGAAGCGGAATTCTAACTTAGTCCAGCATTCTATCCCGTTAGGCAACTGTACTGACAGCCACAGGAAGTATTTGTTAAGCTCCTACTATGTGCACAGTAAACATTTGTTAAG